CCTTGGCTCTTCTTCTTGAGATCCCCTCCCCGGAGATGCCAAGGTCTGGACTGTCAACCACACAAAAATGGAAATACAGCGAATACAGTTGTACAAACAAACAATCCATCACACTGTACAAATCACACTGGAGACTACTGTCTTCTCATACAGTCCTACTTACAACCCAAAATGATACACATAACAAATGGTTTTCCCACCATGCATAAATGACATCTGCACCAGTTGAACAGCGACCTAATAGTCCTTGAAAGTACAAGTCTTTCTTCAGACTGATGCAGTCACCGGTTCACGGTGCAATGAAGAGTCTCCAGAAGAAAGCACGCAATAGAAGGCATGAGCGCAAGACTAGCTATAGCACGAACCAAAGGAGCAGCGACAACACACTTAGGTTGCTTTGCCATTTCTTAGGGCTTTATCAGGCCGCTTTTCTTAGTTGATGGGGCTCAACCCAACTCTGGCAAGATTCAAAATGACACGAAGTCTACCAGTATGTTCCAAGTAGCTAGGAGTTTTTTATTTATTTATTTTATTTATCTTTAAATTTATACCCCGCCCTCCCCGAAGGCTTAGGGCGGCTCACAAGGGGCACGAATGCCCAAGTTAAAACATTAAAACAGTACAGAACAACATACAGTACAATAAATACAATTCACTAAAATTTACTTGACGGTGCTCCAAAATTATTTAACTATAAAATTCAAGATGGAGTTCTAAAATATTAATAACAAGCAACAATAATAACAATAAATATAGCAGCAACAATATACGTCCATACAGCGATTGTCCTCTGCCAGACACGTCTCACACCCCCAATAGTCCCTGCTCTGAAGATGGTCAATCTGTGGGACTAATGAGGGGGGCGTAGATAGAATGATGGTGACGAAGGTGACATAATGATGATGGCAAAATGATGGTGGCGGCGGCTCCTACTCAAAAGAATCAGGCTACTTGGAGATCTGGGCTGTAGCTGCCGAAGCACATGGCTGTAATAATGAGCCATGGTCGTTCAGTGTGCCCTTGTATATCCTTGGGGCAGGTTACCCACCTTGGAGCAGGTATTGGTGTTCCACTGCAGTGCTCTGGAGTTGAGCCCGCCAAACCCACAGCTCTGTTTTGCTGCCTTGAACTGTATCTTGGGAAGGCAATAGAGTTGAAAGATCGCAGTGGCAACCACTTTCTGAACATCTCTTGCTTTGAAAACTCTGTGGGGTCACCATAAGTTGGCGGCGACTTGATGCCCTTTCCACCACCACCCCTTCTCCCGAATAATTTGACAGTATTATTTCTGCCCTAAACTGGATGGCCCAGGCTAGGCCTGATCTTCTCAGATCTCAGAAGCTAAGCAGGGTGTCAGACTCTTGAACAAACTTACTCCCAACAACACTCTCTTGGCAGTGATTTGTTTATTGAGAAATAAAGATGTGTCAAGCTAAGACTATCTGTGTCAGAACTGACACCCTTGGCGCCAGTTCTGGCATTATACATAGTTCAAACAGGCCCTCCCCGGGACCAGTCCAATCACACCAATACAGTCCAGTCACACCAAAATCTACCCTTCCCCAACACCTGCAAGCTTAGTAACCCAGCAGTGTCTGCTGTCCAAGGTCAAGCACGTATTCTTCCCAGAGATGGGAGACCCCGCATAAACGCAGTTACAAGCAAGCGCAGCTTCCAGCAGAGCAGCTTCACACACACACACACTCACAAACATGCTTCCAGACTCCCAACCAGAAGAAAACAGGATAAGAGACATACGGAACCAAAAATAACGAAAGAACCATGGCAAACGAGGCCCGAGTTTGACAATGGGGACCGCCAAGGAAGTCCAGGCAGAGGCAGGCAATGGCAAAACCACCTCTGAACGTCTCTTGCCTTGAAAGCTCTAAGGGGCCACTTGTCAGGTCCCACTTGTCAGGTCCCACAGCATCAACGGAGTACACACTTGCAAAAAGGTTATACATTCATTGAAGCCATGAGTACAGGTACAGGATCACTGTTAGGAATAGCGGGGACCTATGCGCATAAGAGGTTATAGCGCATTCAAAATAGTGCTGCCCAATTGGCGTGGTTCGCGCGTGCGCCAGGAGTGGTTCCCCCGCGCGCCAGGAGGCCTGAGAATTAACTGCCCTCCCAAGCATAACAGGTACGAGCTTCCCACGGCCAAGAAGGTTAACGTCAAAGCAATCCAGCAATCTCCTTTGCAACTCCTCCTGTGGCCTTTAGAGATACATGGTACTGCGAAGCTGCAATTAGGCATAGGGAAAGGAATGCATACGAAAGGGAAACAGAGAAACACTTGGCAGCTTGCTGACACCACTGTAAGTCGTCGTCGGCTGGATGGCCCTTTTCACCACCACCACTGTTTGTGGGACAGATTCACGCCCATCCCAATATCAAGCCAGGAAACTGTAGTTTGACGTTGTTTTGTTAACCACAGCTAGTCTTAACGATGGGATTAGATAGTGCGTGGCGCAGACAGACTGGCTTGACCGTGAGACCTGGCTGCAGTGAAGGCGATGAGGCCAGAGTTTGTGGAGACAAACCAGGATTTAAGGGATTGTCTGTGAACAGAATCCCTGGTTCATAAACGATAACAGTCGTGAAAATAAACCGCGCTTTTTTACAATGTCTGAACCAAGCTGAGAAGTCATTGGCTCGGTTCAGACACACTGCAAAACGAAGGTATGTTGTGCCTGTGGTTAGTTGTGTCTGAGAGCTGAGTGCTGGTTTCACCAGTATCCAAATCTTGGTTTGCAACAGCAAATGCTGCCACTGCTGTTGCTTTAATGGGAAAGGTGGATGTTGTGGATCAAGCCAGGATGTACATCATACAAAACCAAAATTAAGACTCTTTGCTTCAAACAATTTGGTGTAGCGGTTAAGTGCGCGGACTCTAATCTGGGAGAACCGGGTTTGATTCCCCACTCCTCCTCCACTTGCACCTGCTGGATGACCTTGGGCAAGCCACAGTTCTGATAAGAGCTGTCCTTGAAAAAGAGCAATTTCCGTCAAGAGCTCTCTCAGCCCCACCTACCTCACAGGGTGTCTGTTGTGGGGAGGGGAAGGGAAAGGAGTCTGTAAGCCGCTCTGAGACACGTTTGGGTAGTGAAGGGCGGGGTATAAATCCAATCTCCTCCTCCTCCTTCTCTTCTTCTTCTGATCTTGGTCTGGTAGACCATAGCTGGCGGGGTAGCCCGCATTTACACAATCACATTAATTAAATTATGCTTGTGTATGATGTCTTAACACAGGGAGTCCCCGACCTTTTTGAGCCTGTGGGCACCTTTGGAATTCTGACATGGGGGAGGGAACAAAATGGCTGCCGCTGCTTATCTTCAGTCACACAGTGAACATCCTTGTCCTGTGGTGGCGGCTGCAGTCAAAGAAATCTGCACAGTCAGTCAGATCTCCAGTGGCCAATCAGAAGCCCTGCAGGGCAAAAGACCCACATGGCCCTGCTCGTATTCTAAAAACACTTGATGGGCACTGGGGAATGTGTCAGCAGACACCACATTGGGGGACCTGTCTTAACAGAACCGGTGTTTCTTTAGCACCACATATAGGCGAATGGATTATGCTTTGTACTCAGTAGGAGTTGCCTCTCAAGCAGTAACACACCAACAAGGGTTAAGTATTTATTTATTTATTGTTTTGATTTATACCCCACCCTCCCCGCAAGCGGGCTCAGGGTGGCTTACAGCATTGGTACCCTGTACCATAAGAACCATGTACAAAATTTAAACAGCATTAAGCATTAAAAACAATCCAACAATTAACAATTAAAGTGCTAGTGATGGTACACTTTTGATGGCAATCTCTAAATGATTCAGATGGCATACTCACAATTATCATCGGCATCGGTGATCTTCAGCTTGGTGCGATGATATAACGCAAACCCTCCCCAGGACCAGAGTCAATCCAGACGACGGATGTTGTTGATGGTAGAGGAGTGGCGGCTCCTAATTGAAAGCCTGGTGGAAGAGCTTCGTCTTACAGGCCCTGTGGAACTGCAAAAGGTCCCGCGGGGCCTTGATCTCTTCCGGGAGCTCATTCCACCAGTGTGGAGCCGCCACTGAAAAGGCCCTGGCCCTGGTGGCCGCAAGCCTGGCGTCCTTAGGGCCAGGAACGGTCAGTCGATGTTGTGTTCCTGACCGTAGTGCTTGCTGGGGTATATATGGGGAAAGGCGGTCCCGCAGGTATGTCGGTATTGTAAACTTCTGTGGAGCCCTTGAGCATTTGGGGGCAAGATGTCTGGACTCCCTGTAGCTATGTAGCCTCTGTGTTTGCTTCTCTCTCTCTCTCTAAGTATGTTTCTTTTTTTTCTTTTCTACATCCCCTCTGCATCTTTCAGATACTTGTTCCGTCATAGGTCTTTTCTGAGAATCCCTGTGGTTCCTAGGCCAAGGTTCTGTTCCCTAAGGAGTTTGAGGTTGGCTTGATTATAAAGGTTATCCTTCTCAAGCAAGTCCTTTGCGCACTTTCCTTGTGCTATTTTACATGTCTGGATAATCCCCCCCCCCCCCCCCCGCTTCCTTTCCCCAACGTTTTGATTCGCAGTCATATATTTATGCTCGTTGGCTACTTAAGTCTCCCAGACGTTTTGTAAATCTCAGCATCAGGCTTTCCTCCAGAACGGTTTTCTAAACTGCATATTATATATATTTGCTAACCTATATATAATATGGATGAGAGTTGTGTTTTCTTGCCCACCCTTTTCACTGCCGTGGTCCCATTCCCTGTTTGTCGTCTTCTCCAAGCACATCTAGAATGTTGTTTGATTTGCTCTTGAGTTGGCCACCACTTGTTGCATGGTCATATGAAAGGAATGTTACCCAGAGCGTTTTAGTAACTGTTTAAGATTGTCTTTAGTTCTGCTGGTGAGGATGGGTGGGTAGTAATGCACATAATTCATGTGATTTGGGTTTGTTTTCTCTCTCTCTCATTTTGCTTTGGTCAGTGTTTCAAATGTGTGGTTTTCTTATTCTTTGTTCCCAAAGGCCGTACATGGAAGAACCACGCCACGTCAAAGTGCAGAAGGGCTCTGAGCCTCTTGGGATCTCGATCGTCTGTGGTGAAAACGGGGGCATCTTTGTGTCGAAAGTAACTGGCGGGAGCATCGCCCATCAGGCCGGCCTCGAATACGGAGATCAGTTGCTGGAGGTAAGAACAACTTACTTAAGAAGATTACTACCACTTGACTGTTGTTATCTCTAAACTGGGATTGGACACTTACTGGTTTGGTTTTTAGGCATAACGTGAAAATGTGATTTGTGGTAACTAGGGATGGGCACGATGGATGGTTTGTGGTTTGTGAATTCAAGTTTATGGCAGATCAGCCAGCGCGAACTTTCAAGCTGTTTGTGGAGGTTCGTGCCAGTTTGTGAATGGATACATTTCCAGACTGTCTTCGCTCAATCTAAATGTTTATAAAACTTCAAAGCAATGGGGGAGGGGCGGAACTTGGAGGACGTGTAGAGGAGCATCCTGGACCTCCTGAACCTGCACCTGTCGAAATGACCTTCGCGCCATCGGGGCAGATGCCTTGAGTTGCGAATGGCCATGATAGCTATTGTACACCTTCCCTCCCATTCACTTGATTCAGAGGGTTGTGCCGAAAATAATAGATCAAAGGGCGGAAGTCGTCGTGGTGGCACCGTTCCGGCCAAGAAGATCATGGTTTCAGGCCCTTGGTGGCTTCCACTGTGGGAGGATCTTCTTCTGCAGTGAACAATACAACAACTGCGGCCGGGACTTCTAAACCTCCCAGCCTGTAGATTGAGCGCAAGCACCTAGCAGAAATAGGTTATTCAGAAGGGGTGATGAAGACCATTGTAGCTTCCAGGAAAGGATCGACAATTAGGGTCTATAATAACACCTGGCAAAGGGGTATGGCGGGGGCCTCACAGAGGGGGGAAGGGGGTACCACTTCATTTGGGGAGCAAACTTGGTCCGGAAGAAGGGATAGTCATGTGGGGCCACCGCTCCACACAGCTCCTCCCAAAGGGAGCCTCGCTCAGTAAGCAAGACCGGCTCCTCCTCCTCCTCCTCCTCCTCCACAGGCCTCCCCCACCGGCGGGTTCCTTTTGGGTAGCAAGCTGGGTTGGCCGGTGGCACTGAGTCTTGGCGTAAAACTTTGTCTTGGCGACCACCGACTGGAGGGAGCCCTCGAGCCCGGAGGAAAGCCTGCTGGAGCTCCGGAGCAGTTTAAAAGTTTCTTCCCGGGTCTTTCTGTTTTTGCCACGGCCTGCTGTGGCGTGGCGTGGCGTGGGAGCACGTGCCTTTAAAATACTGTAGAAAATGTTTTAAAAACCTTTCATGTGAAGAAATTTTGTGGGGCCGTGGCTTTAAGAAAGGGGGCAGAGTCCTGAAAAGCCCCACCATCGCTACGGGCCTGCCCCACACCTACATTACATCACCTTGAGGATGCTGAGCACATGCGTGTCTCCATGCTTGCTGCGCGTTGAGGGTATTTTTGGAAGGTAGAACACAACAGACCCTTCTTGGGCCTTATCTCAACTTTTTGCGCTGCTTGTTCTCCAGGGTGGATTTCTGGTGTTTCCTTCTCTATTGTAATGAATAGACGAACTTTGGGCCTGATCAGCCAGCCTCCTAGCTATCCCTTGCCTGGGGGATCAGGCTGACTTTATGCTTTACAAAACCCAGAAATGCCTGCATGTTTCTTAAGAAGAAAGGTTAAAGCGCTTGGGGTTTTTTAGCTTGGAGAAACAACGACTGAGGGGTGACATGATCGAGGTTTACAAGATGATGCCTGGGATAGAGCAGGTAGAGGAAGAAGTACTTCTTTCCCTTTCTCACAAGACAAGAATCTGTGGGCACTCCATGAAATCGCTGAGCAGTCGGGTTAGAACAGATAAAAGGAAGTACTTCTTCACCCAAAGAGTGATTAGCACATGGAATTCACTGCCACAGGAGGTGATGGCGACTACAAGCACGGACGGCTTCAAGAGGGAACGGGATGAACATATGGAGCAGAGGTCCGTAGGTGGCTATTAGCTACAAAGTGTAGGTAGGAACTCTCGGTCTGGGGCAAGTGATGCTCTGTAGTCTTGGTGCTTGGGGGGGGGCAACAGTGGGAGGGCTCCTAGTGTCCTGGCCCCACTGGTGGACCTCCTGATGGCACCTGGTATTTTTAGCCACTGCGTGAGACAGAGGTTGTTCTGTTTTTTTTCATGCGTCAAATTTCTGAACCGGTGAAATATGTTTCACTGTCTTTTAAAGCTGTTCAGAAAAGCTGTTCACCTTGACACAGAGAGTACTCCATCTTTCTGTGTTATACCTCTGAGGATGCCAGTCACAGCTACTGGCGAAACGTCAGGTTCTACAATGCCAAGACCACGGCCGCACAACCTGGAAAATCTACAGCAACTAATGAACTCCGGCCGTGAAAGCCTCCGACAACATACTGTTCAGAAATCATTGTTCTCCTCTGATTCCCCACTCCTCCTCTTGCAGCTGCTGGACGACCTTGGCCAATCTATAGTTCTGTCACAGCTGTTCTTGAAAGAGCAGTCCTCAAAAGAGTTCTCTCAGCCCCACCCACCTCACAGGGTGTCTCTTGTGGGGAGGGGAAGGGAAAGGAGTTTGTCAGCCGCTCTGAGACTCCGAAGGGCAGAGTATAAATCCTCCTCCTCCTCCTCTTCTTCTTCTTCATCTTCTTCCTCCTCCTCCTCCTCCTTCTTCTTCAGGAGGACAGTAAGTTCTCCACTTACCCAGTAGTCAAGTCAAACCCGTCAAATTTGATGATGGCATTGATCTTCTTTCCCTCTCCTTCAAGTGGAAAATTAAATAATACAAAATCAGTAGCCGCAGGTGCTATCCACCTTTATTGCCCAGTTCACTGGAAGTGTGGTGTGTCACGTTTCAAGAAGGATTAAATGGGGAAATCTGTACTGATTCCATCAGTGAAAACGTGCTGCTGAGTACCTGTCTCTGCCTCTCACCTCCCCCCCAGTTCAACGGGATAAATCTGCGGAACGCCACGGAACAGCAAGCCCGGCTGATCATTGGACAGCAGTGCGACACCGTAATGATTCTGGCACAGTACAATCCACACATGTTCCAGCTTGGAAATCACTCCCGTTCAAGGTGAGATACATTTAGACCAGAGGTCCCCCAAACTTTTTGAGCCCGTGGGGCACCTTTGGGATTTTGAGGAGGGGGTGGTGAGGCCCACCCCATAAATGGCTGCAGCCGGAGGCGGAGCCAAATGAAATACCTCCCTCTTCATACCTTCTGGGAAGAAGGAAATCCTGTAGGGGGAATGGAACCGCACAGGGACTAAGGAAAGCCCAGATTGGCTGGATATCAGGGGAAACCTTTTCACGGTCAGAGTGGTTCAGAGGTGGAATCAGCTGTCTGGGGAGGTGGATGAGCTCCCCTTCACGGGCAGCTTTCAAGAAGAGGCTGGACGGATATTTGTCAGGGATGCTTTAGGCTGGTCCTGCATTGGGCAGGGGGTTGGACGAGAGGGTCTGTATGGCCCCTACCAACGCTATGATTCTGTGATATGCCTGCCAGCCCTCATCCTCCAGTGGAAAATCATTTCATTTGAATGAGGGCAGACGAGAGCAAGCCCTGCCTTACAATGGCCCTGCCTAGTTACTGAAAAGCTTGACAGGCGTCAAGAAAAATACTGGCGGGCATGGTGGTGCCCATGGGTGCCGCGTTGGAGAACCTTAATTTGGCCCCTTTCCGAGTCTGTGTGTGTGTGTGTGTGAACCCAAGGTTCTCACAGGCTCAGTTACGACGTCATGCTTCACCGTGGTTTATTTTGACCATAGTGATACAGGTGAGAAACAGATGTTTGCCGTGTCCTCTTCTGGGTTGAAAGGGAGAGCTTGGTCTGCTTGATGCTGGGGCTACCACAGTAGGGACCCTGCTGCATCTTGGATTGGCCTCCATTTGGGCCGGGTTGGGAGCCTGGTAGTAGATGGCTTGACGTAAAACTCTGGCCCCAGTTTATCCTCGAACTCTCCCATAACTCATAAGATGGCTGAAGTGTTTTCGAACATTACCAGACTCTGTGTTTTAATATCACGTGTTTTCAATTTTCCCTTTAATTTGAGCTCCCGCCTGGAACCTGTGAGTAGCCATTCCACTCCGCAAGGCAGTGGAGCTGCCACTCCCGACAGCCATTCGGTAATCGATACTGTGAGTGAACAGGACGAAGGGACCATGACGCCCCCATCCAAACAGACCACTCCCACGACCAGTCCCTGCAATTCAATCAGGTAGGCTGGCTCCCATTGTTGTCCAAGACTGCTTTCTTTAAACTAGCGCTTGTCCAAGTATTCTCTAGCTTCAGATGGCCTTCGGAGTTGTGGGATACACCACTTGTCCAGGTTCAGGGTAGCCAAGAGGCAGGGACCATGGGAGACAAAATTCGAGGGGAAAGCTTGGCAGCCATCAAGGAAAGTACTGGCAGGCAGGATGACGCCCCTGATTTAGACCCTTTCCAGGTCTGTGTTGGAGCTCCTGGAGGAATCAGTTCCCAATAGCGGTCATTCAGAAGAATTAAATTGGACAGCAGTGATAGGATCCAGTGATAGGATCCAGACTCATAACGTTCTTTGTTAGAACTGGGGGTCAAGCGTGCAAAGCAAGCTATTATACTGCACTCAAATGCAGCATTAGTGGCTCTTGGCCAATCACACTTTTTAAAAAAAAAATAATTTTTGTTTCTTCCCCAGCCTGTCTGAGGGCCGGCTTGCCGCGGGGCTCCCGGGCAAACCAAAGGAAGACATGGGGGTGTGACCTAATATGCTAATGAGCTCCTGCTGTTGGGTGTGGACTATTATTCTAATGAGTTCCTGCTGGGCTTTTTCTACAAAAAAAGCCCTGTGTATACCCCACTCCCCCCATAGGTATCCAAAGTGGCTTACAACATCCTTTCCCTCATCCGTGTATCAATAACCCTGTGAAGGAGTTTAAATTGAGAGAGGATGACTGGCTCAGGACCACCCAGCCAGCTTCCATGGCAGGGCGAAAATTCAAACCTGGATCTCCCAGGTGCTAGTTAAGACACTCTGATCATTAGACTATGCTGGCTACCTATAACAGCCCTGTCCACTCCCCTCCCTCAGAGGCAAGATTTTTCCTCAATTTTTCTTTCCCTTTACTGACTGAGCTGGGCGCTTAAGATGTTCCAAGCAATTGTTATATCTCGTCTGCTATACGGGATCCCTGTTTGGATCCAGTCTTTCAATAAGAGAGTTGAGAGCATTTACTCCAGCTTTTTGCGTAGGATTCTTGGTGTTTCCAACTCAGTGTCACTCTTTGCTCTTTACAAGGAGCTGGGTCTTCACTTGGTAGAATCTCGGGCTTGGATCATTACGATCAAATATTGGCTTCGGCTTTACTTTCGATCTCCCCCTGCTAGCCTAATGGCCCAACTTTTAACTGACCCCTATATATCAGAGTGGTCACAGGCCATAGTAAAAAAGGTGGGTACCCTAGGTATTGACCTGGAATCCCTCTATAACTGTGGTGAGGTCGCAATCTTGCAGGTGGTCAAGAGGAGAATGTGGGATATAGAGGCGCAGATCATTAATGCCGGTAGTCTTGGGGTCTGCTCTCCCTATTCATTACCCCTCCTTCCCCTACATACATCCATGGTACCTTATATTGCTAATCTGACAATCCCAGTTTTTAGGAGGGTTTTTATGCTTGCAAGGTTCAACCTTTTCCCTTCAGTAGTGGTCTCAGGTAGATACAGGGGTGTCCCGTATAAGGATAGACTCTGCAACTGTAATCTTGGGGAACCCGATTCTGTTACCCACATTCTTTTTCGCTGTCCTAAATATTCCGCTATGCGCAATATCCTGATTCGTCCTCTCTTCCCTATGCAGAGAGACTTTCTGGATAGGGACTTATCTTTTTTCCTAGCAGACAAGAGTCCAGCAACAACACTATCTGTCGCAGAATTTTTGACCTATGTATGGAAGTCAAGAGTAATACTCTGTAAATCTTGTAAACCATATTAGGACTGTTTTGTGTTTTTGAAATATTGGGAATTTTGATTGATGTTGTTCTTTGCACCTACCCTTAAACTCTCCCCTGTTTGATTTATCTATGGTATGCCAAATAAAGGTTCTCTGTTCCAATACATCACCTTGAGCATGCTGAGCACATGCGTGTCTCCATGCTTGCTGTGCATTGAGGGTATTTTTGGAAGGTAGAACACAACAGACCCTTCTTGGGCCTTATCTCAACTTTTTGCGCTGCTTGTTCTCCAGGGTGGATTTCTGGTGTTTCCTTCTCTATTGTAATGAATAGACGAACTTTGGGCCTGATCAGCCAGCCTCCTAGCTATCCCTTGCCTGGGGGATCAGGCTGACTTTATGCTTTACAAAACCCAGAAATGCCTGCATGTTTCTTAAGAAGAAAGGTTAAAGCGCTTGGGGTTTTTTAGCTTGGAGAAACAACGACTGAGGGGTGACATGATCGAGGTTTACAAGATGATGCCTGGGATAGAGCAGGTAGAGGAAGAAGTACTTCTCTCCCTTTCTCACAAGACAAGAACCTGTGGGCACTCCATGACATCGCTGAGCAGTCAGGTTAGAACAGATAAAAGGAAGTACTACTTCACCCAAAGAGTGATTAGCACATGGAATTCACTGCCACAGGAAGTGGTGGCAGCTACAAGCATGGATGGCTTCAAACATATGGAGCAGAGATCCATCAGTGGCTATTAGCTACAAAGTGTAGGTAGGAACTCTCGGTCTGGGGCAAGTGATGCTCTGTAGTCTTGGTGCTTGGGGGGGGGCAACAGTGGGAGGGCTCCTAGTGTCCTGGCCCCACTGGTGGACCTCCTGATGGCACCTGGTATTTTTGGCCACTGCGTGAGACAGAGGTTGGGTTTGTTTTTTTCATGCGTCAAATTTCTGAACCGGTGAAATATGTTTCACTGTCTTTTAAAGCTGTTCAGAAAAGCTGTTCACCTTGACACAGAGAGTACTCCATCTTTCTGTGTTATACCTCTGAGGATGCCAGTCACAGCTACTGGCGAAACGTCAGGTTCTACAATGCCAAGATCACGGCCGCACAACCTGGAAAATCTACAGCAACTAATGAACTCCGGCCGTGAAAGCCTCCGACAACATACTGTTCAGAAATCATTGTTCTCCTCTGATTCCCCACTCCTCCTCTTGCAGCTGCTGGACGACCTTGGCCAATCTATAGTTCTGTCACAGCTGTTCTTGAAAGAGCAGTCCTCAAAAGAGTTCTCTCAGCCCCACCCACCTCACAGGGTGTCTCTTGTGGGGAGGGGAAGGGAAAGGAGTTTGTCAGCCGCTCTGAGACTCCGAAGGGCAGAGTATAAATCCCCTCCTCCTCCTCTTCTTCTTCTTTATCATCTTCTTCGTCTTCCTCCTCCTCCTCCTCCTTCTTCTTCAGGAGGACAGTAAGTTCTCCACTTACCCAGTAGTCAAGTCGAACCCATCAAATTTGATGATGGCATTGATCTTCTTTCTCTCTCCTTCAAGTGGAAAATTAAATAATACAAAATCAGTAGCCGCAGGTGCTATCCACCTTTATTGCCCGGTTCACTGGAAGTGTGGTGTGTCACGTTTCAAGAAGGATTAAATGGGGAAATCTGTACTGATTCCATCAGTGAAAACGTGCTGCTGAGTACCTGTCTCTGCCTCTCACCTCCCCCCCAGTTCAACGGGATAAATCTGCGGAACGCCACGGAACAGCAAGCCCGGCTGATCATTGGACAGCAGTGCGACACCGTAATGATTCTGGCACAGTACAATCCACACATGTTCCAGCTTGGAAATCACTCCCGTTCAAGGTGAGATACATTTAGACCAGAGGTCCCCCAAACTTTTTGAGCCCGTGGGGCACCTTTGGGATTTTGAGGAGGGGGTGGTGAGGCCCACCCCATAAATGGCTGCAGCCGGAGGCGGAGCCAAATGAAATACCTCCCTCTTCATACCTTCTGGGAAGAAGGAAATCCTGTAGGGGGAATGGAACCGCACAGGGACTAAGGAAAGCCCAGATTGGCTGGATATCAGGGGAAACCTTTTCACGGTCAGAGTGGTTCAGAGGTGGAATCAGCTGTCTGGGGAGGTGGATGAGCTCCCCTTCACGGGCAGCTTTTAAGAAGAGGCTGGACGGATATTTGTCAGGGATGCTTTAGGCTGGTCCTGCATTGGGCAGGGGGTTGGACGAGAGGGTCTGTATGGCCCCTACCAACGCTATGATTCTGTGATATGCCTGCCAGCCCTCATCCTCCAGTGGAAAATCCTTTCATTTGAATGAGGGCAGACGAGAGCAAGCCCTGCCTTACAATGGCCCTGCCTGGTTACTGAAAAGCTTGACAGGCGTCAAGAAAAATACTGGCGGGCATGGTGGTGCCCATGGGTGCCGCGTTGGAGAACCTTAATTTGGCCCCTTTCCGAGTCTGTGTGTGTGTGTGAACCCAAGGTTCTCACAGGCTCAGTTACGACGTCATGCTTCACCGTGGTTTATTTTGACCATAGTGATACAGGTGAGAAACAGATGTTTGCCGTGTCCTCTTCTGGGTTGAAAGGGAGAGCTTGGTCTGCTTGATGCTGGGGCTACCACAGTCAGCTGACCCAAACTCCAGCTACTTTTTTGTGTACGTGACTGGTTGCAAGTGGGCCAGAGTGTGGAGCCATGAGGTCTGGCTTTTGGCATGAAGGTGTGAAAGAATGTGGGTTTATGGCATGGCTATTGAGGCCATGTGGCCTCACCATTTGGCTTGCAACAGGAAATAAGACACAGCATGTTATCATAATGTAATCACAGGAGAAGGCACGTGGATATAGAAAGCAGAAAGCAATTTTTCTATACACCCCCCCAAAAAAAATTGGGGCTCAAAGCACCTGAGCAGGGTATTCTTAATTGGGGAAAGTGGTGGGGGGAGTTAACAGCCCTTTCTCTAGCACCATATTGGGGGGGGGTGGAGCTAAATTACCCACTGGGGTGCCTGTTCACAGTTCAGTTTAGCTTCAGATGGCCTTCGGAGTTGTGGGATACACCACTTGTCCAGGTTCAGGGTAGCCAAGAGGCAGGGACCATGGGAGACAAAATTCGAGGGGAAAGCTTGGCAGCCATCAAGGAAAGTACTGGCAGGCAGGATGACGCCCCTGATTTAGACCCTTTCCAGGTCTGTGTTGGAGCTCCTGGAGGAATCAGTTCCCAATAGCGGTCATTCAGAAGAATTAAATTGGACAGCAGTGATAGGATCCAGTGATAGGATCCAGACTCATAACGTTCTTTGTTAGAACTGGGGGTCAAGCGTGCAAAGCAAGCTATTATACTGCACTCAAATGCAGCATTAGTGGCTCTTGGCCAATCACACTTTTTAAAAAAAAAATAATTTTTGTTTTATTAGAAATACACATGAGAAGATGGAACATTTTGAAATAACTACATGAAACAATCATACAAACTTTCGAACAAGATTTCCACATTTTTTTTCTTTTTTCATGTTTTCCTTTCTTTATGAAATTTGTGATTATCACTAAACAATTTTTGAACCTTATATCAACATTTTAAAAAGTTTTGCAACTCATATTCATGTGAACTGTATAACAGATTAACTGAGTACGTTTGATTATCTGGTGTCTACAAGAGAAAGAAAAGCAGAAAATGAAAGAATAATAACACTTAAGCTATAATCCCGCCAAACCAACGGCCCAAAATTCCCAGGAGAAAGAGAATACCAGAGACAGTACAGGTCTTATGGTTACATGGCACATCAGATAACAACCCAGAGGCCAGAAACGGAAGTATACATTCTTGTTCGCCCCCCCCCTCACATCTCCATGGCAACCAAGCCCAAGATGGCCGCTTGCTGACAGTCTATGGGGATGTGTGTGTGTGAGAACCCATGGTTCTCATGGGCTCACTTAAGACTTCATGCTTTGCCATGGTTTATTTATTATTTATACGAGTCAAGTCCTATGATTTCTGTTTCACGTAATGGTTATGTAATGTTTTTACTCTTTTCTGTGAGACCCCTTTATGTGTGTAACCTTTGTAAATGCACCCCTCTGTAGTGCCCTGAGTTGACATGCATTACGCTGCCTCCTGGCCTTCCATATTTTCACTGCCACCAAAGGCTTTCGCCTTAGAGCTCTTAGTTGGACACAAAGAACAGGGTGGGTTAGGTGCATATGGTATTTTGACAGAACGGTCACGACGTGCGGGTGGCTCTGAGGTAAACGGGGATCCTGTACTCTAAAATGAACAGTTGTGTGGTTTTTTTAACATGAATAGAGTTTATTGATAAGTATAGCAGTGTCACGGTTTCTGTAAAGCTAATAAGCTTAACGGTTTCAAGTAGCCGTAATAGTTTCAGAGACGTTCTCTGAAGTTTCTTAAATAGGCCTAGTCACAAAGGGTTATTTTCTCACTTAGGCGAATAATTTCCCCATAGGCTTAATTTCCTCACTTGCCACTTTGGTTCATAACTTTCACACAGAACGCAGATTTCTCTCGCGTGATGTCATTTTTCACCCACTCCCCCCTCTTTCCTCACATACTCCCCTAACCGTCTCTCCCTCTCTCTCTGCAACACAGTCAACTATACCCCTTTGGGTACAGCTACCATCCGATCATAACACTCTTCGATCACCCATCCAGCGTCCCTTCCCCCTTTATTACCCTACAGGCCGGCATTTTAAACTGCAGCGACATAATATAGAATTCCACATCAAAACCTAAAAAAAACCCACACACAAAATATTTACCTAGTGACAACATCACAGGTTGGCTCTGGATGGTATAAGGTGGAGCCGAGAGAGAATCTTTGTCCTCGGGCCCTGTGGTAGCTCTGGGTAATCTTGGCCACTGTCTTTAGAATTTGAATCCAGAGCCCAGGAAGAGGGGACCTTTGTGGGGAAAAGAGATGGTTC